TTGTTGTTTGGTGTGCCCAGGCTGGATTCAAACCCACCACCTTAGGTGTATGTGGCTGGTGACTTAGCCGCTCAAGCCACAGGCACCGAGCCATAAATTTGGCTTATTAATGTAAATAGTGGTAATAGCTAATACTAGTTGAGTTTCTTCCACATGGCAGGCTCTGTACATATAGTTTAATCCTAGCAACCTTATGAGATTGTCATTATCTATTACTCCCAGCGTATAGAGAGGGAAACTGAGTTACAGAATGAGGTTCAGAAGGTGCCCCAAGTCCTAAGTGGCAAAACCAGAATAGGAACCCAGGCATTAAAAGTCGATCCATCTTGATTGTCTCTGCTTGCCAATTTTTCAAGCTCCTGTATTCTCCCTTTTCATGAAGCCTGGTGACTCCATGTTCTACTCATAGAAAAGAAAGAACTTAAGAGTGCTCAGGACTTGGAAATGAAATTAAGTCAACTTTGCTAATCATTAAGTCAATGTGGCTTTTATTTCAAGTTTCACAACTCAAAAATTAAACTTTGGATTACTAGGAGATAATTACCTCAGCTGCCCTAAATTATTTTTAGGACCCTATACTCAAATTCTCACAGATATACTTCTCAAAGACATGAAATTATCCCCTGTTTTTCAGAAGCAAATGCATTTAGCTAGTTTTCCCAAAAATTAAACCTAATAAGTGATAGAGTTAAAACACAGGCCTGACTGACCACTCGTATTTTCTCCATTGCTTTAGTGGTTTTATACACTAACAGCTCGGCAGCAAACCCTCTGGCAATAAGGGATAAGACTCATACTGTAAGTTTAATAGGAATGGTTAGCAAATCTTATTCCTGATAGGTTTTATACTTTTTTTAACTGCTGGAAGTTTAAAGATGACAAAATTTTTTGAGACAGTCTCACTGTATCACCCTCTGTAGTGTTCCATAGCATCACAGCTCAGCAACCTCCAAGTCTTGGGCTTAAGTGATTCTCTTGCCTCAGCCTCCCAAGTAGCTGGGACTACAGGCGCCTGCCACAACACCCAGCTATTTTTTGTTGCAACTGTCATTGTTTTAGCTGGCCTGGGCTGGGTTCAAACCCACCAGCCTTGGTGTATGTGGCTGGCGCTGTAACCACTGTGCTACGGGTGCTGAGCCAGAAAAATAATTTTCTTTATCAAATACAGCCTTGAGTTTCAAAAGTCAGAGAGCAGGGAAGAGAAGCCAGGTGGACAAGAGATGTGACTCCTTTATCAGCTGTGGCCACCAGAGGCAAGTGTTTCTGAGTGAGGGGGTCCTCTATTTCTATTCCTGTACTTTAGTTGGGGAAAGAACTAGAAACCATTCCTTGTTCCCCAGCTTCTCAAATAGGGTACAGTACAGGTAGGAACAAAATAAACACGGTGCCCCTTTCCAGAACATCAATTTATTCAAAGATACTGGGGGAGTGGGATGTCATTATGTCAATGACAATTTTGAAGCAAATGGAAGGGCACTCAAAGTCCACAAGAGTTGACAAGACGAAATGTGATTTCCTAGAAGTAAAGCAGCAGAAGCAGTTCGAGTAGGCTCTACTGCCTGACCCTCAGGGCGTGCATGTTCACTGTCCTTGGAAATCACAAGAAGCTGCTGCTATGAGTCCGCTGTGGAATCACAACTAGCGGTGCAACCTCAGTAAGTCACTTTCCCCTTCCGGTTCTCCACTGGAAAAGTGAGTTGAACTAGATTAGATCATCTGTTGCAGCTTCTCCAGCTCTGACATTTCTGCTCTTTCTGATACTGTAACCTTCATACTTTCTGCCAACCAGAAGAATAGGCAGGAAAGAGAAATGAGGCAGTACAGAGTGATGGCCTGTTTCCTGAGTGGGTGAAAGAAATCTTATTTTAATCACTGTCTGGGTTGGTTTGCTAGGGCAGCTGTAACATACCACACACTGGGGGCCTTAAATGAGAGAAATGTATTGTCTCAGTTCTGGAGGGCAAAAAACTGAAATCAAGGGGTTGGCAGAGTTGGTTCCTTCTGAGGTCCCTGAGGGGAGGGTATGCTCCTGACCTCTCCTGGGCTTGTAAGTGGTGTCTTATCTCTGTAGTAGTCTATGTCCAAATTCCCTCTTCTTACAAAGACAGTAATGTTGGATCAGGACCCAAGTTAATGACCTTAATTTAACTACCTCTTTAAAGACTCTATCTCTAAGTACAGTTACATTCTAAGGTTCCAGACGTTAGTACTTCAACATACGAATTTGGGTGAGGTGGACATAATTCAGCGCATAATACTGTCTTAGAACTTTTTTAAAAATCTGTGTTCTGGGCTACTTATTTGTGGAGAACAATGTTGGGAGTAAGTTGCAAGGACAGCCAGCAAGACACACCTGAGAGAACAAATGGTCCTCAAGGATGAGAGTAACTGTCACCACAGGAAGTGTGTGCACTCAAAAACAGATTCGAGCTGGGCAGTGGCTGCTTCCTGTAATCCCAGCACTTTAGGAGGCCGAAGTAGGAGGATCGCTTGAAGCCAGGAGTTGGAGGCCAACC